CTCCTCTTGAGTTCAACCTCTGCACCTGTGTGTTGCCATTCTTTCCTGTCTAATTTATAATTTAATAGTGGATTACGGCAATGTTTTTCTCTAAGGTTTTTTTTTCCCTATTATCTGCAAGTGGAGATATACATACTATTCCAGCATTTTTTATTCTCTATTTCATATGTCAAAGTATCTTCCTGTTGTCAAACCCTATGCAATCAATTTTGTCAAACTGTTAATATGGACCCATGATTCTTGCCATGTGATAGGTGATGGTGTGTGCAGATACACTGAGAAGTCATTTAGTACTACATGCCATTAGCAGAGGAAGAGTACTAGGTGTTTTCATAGGACCTATAACCTGCTCAATCACAGGTTCTTGGCCCAGATACTGTTCTAGCTATGAGTTCTATACTATGAAGTTGATATTTGTGCCATTGTTAGACCAGTGTGCATACCTTGTCAATCAAGATCTTTATTGTATCAAGTTGGATACTCATCTGACTAAAAAAAGAAAATCCCTTCTCAAGTTCAAGGGCCATTGTAGGAGAGGAAGTGGAAAGACTGTTAGAGTCAGAGGTGGTGGATGACTAAAAAACCAAAACAAAGCAAAACACAACAAAATATTATTTCATAAACACAACAGAGTAGTTGCACATATGGGTTTACAAGAATTGTGACAACATCCACAAGACCTAAACAAGTTCAAATCAGACAACAATCTTAATGTAGAGGGGTAACCTGGGATTGACATCCCACCCCTAGCTGAGGAGCTATTGATAATGATAACTGCTGGAAAGGGGGAGTTAGTTTTTATTTTAAGGTAAAATCCCTGGTGGGTCAAATATGGACCAATAGATGGTCACACATCCAAGAGTATATTGGTGACAATAATTGGACTTCATAAATTAAAACAAAAAGAATGGCAACACAATGTTGGTGGATATTGAGTGGGGGGAATAGATTTGAGAGGAAATGGAAGAGGAGTTAGATAATCAAAATACAATGCATGGGATTCTCAAAGCATTAATAACAATAAAATCATCTTTGCTCATTTTAACTATGGCTACAGCAATATTATTGGCATTACAGTATGAAAATGTCTGCAGTATTGCAATAGGTATATTGATAATGGCAGGCATACTTTTTGACTTTTATTTCTGCTTAAATTGGTGCAAATTGACCAATTTTGTTGATCAATATATTCTGGCTTTCTTGCAGGTCTTTTTAGGGTACAGATATCTGTTATGCATTTTCAACCATTCTAATGTATAACACACTATAGGGCCATTTATATGTGTCATTGTTTCCTCTCTTAAATACTCACTAGTATTATTCCCTAAAGCGGCTCTGATGAGAAGTGCCATACTGCTTGTGAATGTAGCAGACATCAAATTCAGCCTAAGCAAGGATGAAAGAAAACTGCTGGGTCTGGGAAGTCAATTAAAACCTACTTTAAAAAAAATCTCTAAAAGGAGCACTGATAGCAGCTCTCAACAACTTTCATCATAACACAAAGTAGAAGTTTTAGTGTTTTTTTTTCATCTCCATTGTCCCCCACTTTTCTATCCACTTGCCTGGAACTTCCTGCAGCAGTAGCAAGAGCGATGAAATACAGATGACTCTTTGCATCTCTACAAGCCTAGAGGGAACAGCTAGGGCCTGCAGAGCAGCTCATATGTAGTCACTTGTTAATTACAGCCTTACTGTACTAAATTATAACCAAATTCCTGATTAATATGTGAATATAAATCCAAGATATATTTCTTCCATTACTAAGAGGACTTCATCATTGTATTTTATTGGGTCATTATTCATATTATCACCTTATATATAGATGGTGAAGAGAATTGTGAATTTGAAACCCTTCTTGTCTCACAGTATTTGCTCATGGCTGGTGTCTCTGGTCCACAGTCAGGGTTTTTAAACACAAGATGTATTGGAATGGGTCTAATTTTCTGTTATTTGCTATTTTGAGCTTTATGAGTGTCTAGTGTATCATAAAGAGTAGAGTTCTGCTTGAACTGACAGTGGAAGCATCCAAAGACCTGGCTTTGGTGTAGGCAGTGGTCAATATTGTAATCATCTGTCCTGTCCCTTTTAGAGACAAGACCCACCTACTCCTTCCCCCATCCACCACTGAGGCAGGCAGATCTTCCTTCCTGATTCCAGTTGAGTCTCTTCTCTTTCAGTCTCTCTTCCAAACAGGTAGCTGCTGCTGTGGCGTCTCCCTCCCCCAATCTTCCCCTATTTTGCCTTTTCCCTTACCCCTCCATAACCCACTAAATAAATACCCACTTCCTCTGCATGGTGTGCCTACTTGTCTCGGTAGGTCTCCCACTCATCATGCAGCTCCCTGCCTGGGACCCTCTGGCCCTCATGGGCTGCAGGCTACTTAGGGGCTTCCTGCCTGGGACCTGAATGCCTTTGTGGCCCCCATGGTCTCATGACTCGCTGCCTTCTGCCTGTTGCCACTCAGGGACCTGCAGCATTTTATTTTAAACCATAAGAAATATGACACACCTTGGGAAGTTACCAAAGACAGATCTCAGTTTGACAAAGATGCCCTCGTGGCTCTTGTCCGTTAACTGTTTATCCAAGAGATGATTATATGAAGTCCTGAACAAGTGAACTAAGTGTGTTGTTGCTTAGGAAACTTGGCAGAACAAACATATTCATCTTACCTATCACTGCTTTCTATACATAAAGAGTTCTTAGACAAATATAACTATTTGACTTACCATATCAGAGTAGTTTGGCTTGCACTCCATAATGTAGCATGAATATCATGTTTAATTTTACTTGAACCTATCAACTGCATAAATTTATAATCATTGCTTTAGATTTATATGAAGAGTCATGTTAGTGCAGTGATACAATTTAGGCATGCTTTATTTGGAAATAATCTCAATATGCTGGTGAAGAATTGTCCTATTTGCTATTTGTAGGCAGAACACATTGAGAGTTCATGTTAAATTAAGTCATGCAATCTTTTGCCATGACTTCTAGAGAATGCTAATGGTTCTCCCCATTCATATGTTGAATTCTATCCCTGGGAAATGTTATTAGGAAGTAAGGATCAACATCACCACATGAAAACTGTTACTCCCAGGTTTCAGTGTTGTCCAAAACCCTTCCAGTATCTAACTACTCCTAGAGTTACTGGCTCAAGTAAAGAAGGATCCAGGGAATTAGACAAAGCAATTCTGTCTCTGTCACTCTCTCTTTTTCTGTGTGTGTATTTTATGTGTATGTATGCACACACATAGCTTATTTTTCCTCAAGTCTCTCTTTTCATGTATGAGAGATGCTCTCAAAGATATCAAATTACCCTAAGCAGCTTCAGAACTAGGAGAAACCTCACAAGCCAAATCAAATAGAAAAGACCAGAAATATTAAACAAGAGTCACTGTATCACTGTATCATCAACCTCATCAAGACAGTTCAGAACAGAAGGCAGTTTCCCTACCACCACAACCATCACCACCACCCTCATCACCATCATTACTGCCTATCATATTGACTGCCAATTCCTCCCCAATATTCTTTCTAGAATTACTTGAAGATTGCCCAGAATACAGAAGTATTTTTCCATACTGCTGTCCTCTAATTAGAAAACCCATGAATGATCCCACAGCAAGAATCACAAATCATCAAGGAGACCAACATTTGTAATTTAGAGGATATGTACAGATATTTACAGATAAAAGCTAGGTGCTATATATTTGGATACCCCAAGCAGATGACTAACTCACAAAAACATGGTTAGGCATTTGTTCTGAATGGAGGAGGATGCAGAACCATGCCAGTAAGTAAGAAAGATCTGCTTGCTAACATGAGTAACAAATCATGACAAAAAAGAAAGAATAATAATGCAGGGTGTTTAGGAAGTTAGACTCGATGGAATTTTTTTACAACCATAAGTCAGTGTCCCAAATTATTATATATTTTATATGTAGAAACTTTGAAAAAATTACAAAGTATCAAGGTATTGAACTGAGTCACATGTCCCTCACATGTTAGAATGGACTTTCATTTCTATTGGTTTCCACTTGAAAACAAATTCTCTCATAGGGTTGGGATAAATATTTCATTTTCTTTGCATGCTTGAGAGACTCTGTCAGTGATTGGAACTTTTATGGCTTTTGTTCTTTTGTTTTCTTTTTCAGGCTTCTTGGATAGACCACAGGTTGATAAAGAATGGATGCTAGAGTTTTGATGTAAGATTTTCTGCTAATCATGTAATCTAGGAGAAGGAAAAGTGTCTAAGCATCTTTGGGTCTGAATTTCCTTATTTTAAAGTTTGAAATGTACCTCCTACATTAGGTAAATGTTTGAAATAAAATTATTTATATATAGTATAAAATACCTCCTGAAAGACAGGAAAACATAACAGCTGTCACCATTTCCCAGAGACAGTGTTTGAGTTAAAAGCAATAAAACCAGTCATGTTGGTCTAAACAATTAATTGCTAGGTCATAACCCTGGGAGTTCCAACATACACTTTTAATTAAACATAGAGCTCAAAATTGGTTCGTCCTCATTTAAAAACTCATTAATCTTTGATAAAGCTAGAAGTATAAATATTGTCACCTTTCTTAAGGACTGATACTTTATAATTACAGCAGATTTAAATTTAAAATTTCATGGTAGCTTTACCTTTACTGCTTGAGGTAGAGATTTCTCTATCATTATCTCTTGTATCACATTTCTTCATTGTCTTTAGGCAAGTTCTTATTTGTAAAGTACATGTACAATCTACTCAGAATCCTTTATCTCCAGGTATTCTTTAAATAGCAGACACCATAATTGAGTTCAAGTGGCAGTCATCAATGAGTTTAATCTTGACTCAGATGGAGATGAATTACACAGTACTGTATGCCGAAGACCCACAGCCCCAGGTAGAGATGAGAAGTTAATGATGCCACCATCGGCAGAGTGATTAAAAAAGGAGGTGGCGGTTGAAACTTACATGATGAATATTTCCACTGACACAAATCTATCTTCTTCCATACCTTTAAAATCCCCATAATCTGGGGATCCACCATGTAGAACCAGAACCGAACAGTACACATTCCAAGGCTGGCCGGAAAGAGCTGAGAGGTAATGATTCTTGCAATAGACCCTTGTTTGGAGACAGAAGAGTTGATGTACAGGAAATGCCGACCACTACCTAGAACAGATTGAGAAAAAGTTTTGTTTTTCAGTGCAACAGTTTATTTTACTGAACAATACAGAATATGTTTAACCCATGTACAAATAACATCATTACCTTAAATGTTCTCCCTTCCTCTGTCTCCCCCACCCAATATTTAAATAGAATTTATCTCTTATAAGTCATCTCAAAATAGCAATTAATTCTTCTGAAGAAAAAGGTGTTGCTATGGTCATGTGATATGCAGAATTTATTTTACACAAGACTCAACTCTGTGTTGACTCTGAAGGTGTGGTACTTTCCTCCAATTCATTCAAACCTGTCTCTTCCAAGCCATAGCATTTTGTGTGTTATGCAAAGTAGACGGGTACAGTGTGGGCACAGGGGAATGACTGATGTACAGCTTGCTTTCAATTGTTCTTACTTCTACACTAGCCAGAGTAGTACGGTGTGGCTAAAATTTAAGCAGAATGTGATTATGAGAATAATTAAATAATTTGTTTGTTGATGCATGTGTGTTTTTATGGGGTGTGCTTGCCTGTGTAGGCATATGTGAATGAAAGATAAAGATTAATAATATATATTGCTTCTGTCACTCTCCACCTTACACTTTGACATAAGTCTTCTTATTAGACCTGGAGTTTGTCCATTATGATAATCTCTCTGGACAAAAAGCAGCAGGGATCCTCATGTCCCCATGACCAATAGTTGCAGATATATCTTACCCAGCCTGCATTTTAAGTGATTGCTGGGGATATGAACTCAGGTCTTTATGCTTGCACAATAATGAATGACTTTTCTCACTGAGTCCCCAGCTCCATTTTAATTTTTTCCACTGTGCTATAAAGAGCATCTGTGCTCCTCAGATGCATTTGACTGCCAAAAGTCTCTGCATTCAATATAATTTGATTTGTTCTTTGATTGACATCATTGTCAAAACTTATCAAGCTACTTTTCTCTTTCTTGCTTTTTCTGAGGTAGCAGATAAGTTACATGTATAGTTACAAACAAGTCTAATAAATTATTTTCTACATAATACGTTTTTTTCTTTGTGGCTTATCAGTGTTCAAGGATCAGCAGCAGCAATCTTCTCCCTTCACTTCTCACAGTGGAACTTTGTGTTTTCTTTTGTTGTTTCAAGTATCTTGGTTAGAGTGTTTTTCATTTTATTTAACCTTTCAAAAACTATCTTCTATTTTTAGTTATTTTCTTTTATACATTACATTAATAACTACTCATTTTTGACACTTTCATTTTCTTCTTCCTTTGGTATTAAACCGCCTTTATCTTAAATTAATTTTATTGCTTTCCTTTCTTTGAATGTCCCAGATTTTCTTATGTGTTTCAGTATATTCAATTAAATATACAGATTTTGATGCTCTGTTCTCTTTTGAATTAAAATATGTCAAGATTGCTATAGAAACTTCCTTGAATCATGAGCTATTTACAAGATGTTTTTGAATCTCTGTGTTGTTGGGAGTGTTGAAATTATATGCGGAGTTCTTGCATTATAAGGAGAAATGTGGAAAAATTTGGCAAGATTTAAAAGACATCAATTTCCAGCCTGGTCTACAGAGCTAGCCCCAGGACAGGCTCCAAAACCACAGAGAAACCCTGTCTCGAAAAAAACCAAAAAAAAAAAAAAAAAAAAAAAACAAAAAAACAAAACAAAAAAAAAAAACAAAAAAAAAAACACATCAATTTCAATCACTGGCAGAAATGAGGTGGGGTTCTTCTCAAGTTAGGCAAACATGTAAAGAAAGTAGAGAATACTTCTGATTTTATGTGAAATATCTGTTCTCCCAAGGGGAAATTGTAGGAAGAATGCTGTGGATGGCTTCCTTCCTTAAATTTATTATGTTCATAGTCCATGACACGTGTTCATCATGTGATTTTTCTGTGTTACTTGAGACTACAGGCACTCTGCTGCTCTTGGATGAAGTAGATATTATCAGGTCCAGATGGTTGATTATGGTATTATGTTCAGTCATGCCCTTCTTAGTATTCTGCTGGCTGGATCTTTCCACTGATAAGCAAGTTTGATTCTCCAAGAGTCATAAAGTTCTTCTTAAATTTCTATCAGGATTTACTGGACAAATTATGATTTTTGGTGTTGAATACTTATGTTAGAGAATATTTTTTTTGTTTTGTTTTTTTATTTATTTATTTTTTTCTTACTTAGTTTTTATTCATAATCATAAACTTAACTCTGCAATCCAGCTAGACTTGAGGGGGAATGAGGAAAATATGGAACCCAAAGAACTTCAGTGAGAGCAGAGATTACAGGGTACTGCGAGCAGATGGGGCTGGGGTGCTCTCCTGAGCTACAGAAGGAATGGTCTGGTGGGTAAGAAGCCCGCAAGTCAAAAGAATTAGAGTTGTCCACAGTCGGAAATGGTGATCTTCTTGCTGGTCTTGCCATTCCTGGACCCAAAACGCTCCATGGCTTCCACAATGTTCATGCCTTCTTTCACCTTCCCAAAGACCACATGTTTGCCATCCAGCCACTCAGTCTTGGTGGTGCAGATAAAAAACTGGGAACCGTTTGTGTTTGGTCCAGCATTTGCCATGGACAAGATGCCAGGACCTGTATGCTTCAGGATGAAGTTCTCATCCTCAAATTTTTCTCCGTAGATGGATCTGCCACCAGTGCCATTATGGCGTGTGAAGTCACCACCCTGGCACATGAATCCTGGAATAATCCTGTGAAAGGAAGAACCCTTATATCCAAATCCTTTCTCTCCAGTGCTCAGAGCACGAGAGTTTTCTGCTGTCTTTGGAACTTTGTCTGCAAACAGCTAGAAGGAGACGCGGCCCAAGGGCTCGCCATCGGCCGCGATGTCGAAGAACACGGTGGGGTTGACCATGGCTGCAGCAAGCGGTGAGAGGGGACAGCGGCATCTGCAAAGCCTAGAGAATATTTTTATATTCTGGGAGGAACAACCTATTTATTACCATGTATGTTCCTCTTCATCCTTAATAATATTCCTTGCTTATGAGTCATTGTCTGAACTCCCAAGTTCTTCCGATGAATGTCCTTCTTTTACTTTGGATCTTTCTGTGTTATATTTAGTACAGATTCTACACAGATAGTATTATGTCTTTTTTTCCACACTGACAATGCCTTCTTTTAATTGATGAATTTTTACTATTAATCTTTATTGATATAGCATACTATTGATAGAGCTGGTTCAATATATATAATAATTTTTAACATTTTTGTACTTGTTACTCTTTGTTTCTTTCCCCCCTCCATTCACTTTCTCTATTCTGTGGTTTTAATTATGAAGTTAATATGATTCAAATTTTCCCTCTGTATGCTAGTTACATATCTTGCAAAAGACACCTTTGCTAGTGGATGACCTTGAACTTAAAAATACATTCAACTAACTCTACCTACATTACATACATACATTACGACTAACTCTTTATGGGTCACAAAGTTAAGCACTGTCCAATAGCACACACCCTTTAAATCAACCCAACTTTCTCATATTGTGGAAGATTTATCTTTCCTGTGTCAGCTTAGTTTTAGTGAAATGGTTTCTTTTAAAGTCAGAGCCACCTGAGAGAAGAATATTCATGAATGTTTCTGTGACTCTTCCCCTCCCCCTGGGAAAGCTGAGGAACTCCTATTCTTCTAGGTAAAAGCCTGGTGGGATTTTAGAGTAGATGTTTCCCTAAGACTGCTCCACTCTGTGTTTCATCTCCTGCATGTTTCCATAGTGAGCCTTCAGCTATTGGACAATCATGGCTTAGATGTCCTACCGAGTTCCTACCAGGGCTTTCTTTCAGCATTTGTGACCCTGTGCCCATTTGTTTGTCTCCCAAAGAAGCAGTGACTGTTCCTGTGACCTTGGCTCTCTAGTGGATTCATGAAAAGTGAAGACTATTCAGCTGCACAGCTAGCTTATTATTAAATGGACTGGCAGTTTCCCTTAAATCCCAGACATGCTGGGTAAGAACTGAAAATAACTTGTATCTATTTTTAAATGTTGCTTACTGAATATCTCTGATGATTCCCTCTGAAGACTTTTTTTTTAATCCATCAAGAAAAAAAATCTATCAAGAAGGGTGGCACATACCTGTTGTTTCAGCCTTGGGAGTTTGAAACAGGAAGATTATATCAATTTTGAGGCCAATCTTGGCCTCAGAGTGAAATTGTTTCTCAAAAATTAAAACACATTAAATCTAGTGGGTCACAAGAAAGAACAGAAAGACAAGGGTACAATAAACAGATGTGTATGAAGTAAAGGTGGCCGACAGTGTTCAGAAAGAGGTAGGAGATGACAGGGCAAGAGTAACCAGAAGGCATCATGTCAAAGTGTAAAATTATCAGGGAACAAATCTGGTAAGTAAATCCACCATCAAAAAATAATAAAAATATAAAGCTACCACCTGAAATAAAACAACACCAAAAAGCAAAACAAAGCAAAAAGGAAGAAAAAATAACTAAAAGATATGACTCAAGAAACATCTTAATGAAGATTCTTCAGGATAAAAAGAAGTTGAGACAACTTGAAAGTTGTCTTACTTCCCAAAGACCCCGAGAAGGGCCTCTCACATGCAGCTAGATTAGGAGAAATAAGAAGAGCATTTTGTTTAAGACACAAAAAAATATTTCTAGATTTGAAGATATTTTGTTTCCTCATTTGGAACCAAAGGTATGTGGCTCCAAAGGTCAAAATAAACCTTTATCCCTCTTCTGCAAAGGACAGTAACTTTTTCTTTGAAAATATACTTTAATTCCAGGCTGTCTTTAAACAAATAAGAACACATGACCTGCCTCTCATCTTGTTGCCCTTTTCCTACATGAGGATTTCCAGTGTATTATAACCACATAGTCTTATCTTGAATGTGAAGAAATAGTTAATATGTTTGGATATTACAATCTAGGTCTTATAGTTTAGCTCTAAAATAGTATAACATGCAAAATGTAAATGAATATACTTCAATCTCAAGCTTTGTCTGTACTAAATTCTAACCTGATATTGAAAGTCAAATATTTAGAGCCATAA